AAATGTAGATTTAAGTGCCTGCTCTCCTTGCAGCATTCTGTGATGTTACGCCTTATCTAAAGTGCTACTCGTGGGCCGTGAAAGAGTGTCAGCGGTACGGCGAGAAATGGAACAAAAAATGGGCTCACGAACCAACCTTGATTAGAGTCTCAGCAGAGATACCCGAGATCATGGCCCACCATGCTACCCCAGTGAGTCACGACCTCTACCCTACCTGGGACAAGTTTCTTCAGGATTTTCTTAAAAGAGGTTTGGGAATCTTTTTATGCTCTCAAGCTGTTTAGCCTCGAGATTTCTGAGCTTGTAATGTTAATTTGAGAGTCTTCTCGTCCAGCCATTGGCCAAACATGACCAAGCTCCCTGTCAAAATAGAGTCATTTTAATAAGTGTTTGCTATGTCGAGACTCCGTACCATCTTAGTATCTGCTATTTTGAGATTAATGAATATCGTTTATCACATGTCATTATCAGCAGAGATTTTTCACGCGAGACTGAGTCGCAATACCTGTTGGAGCCTCATCCGGGTTTCTGTGGAATGAGGGAACTACGAGTACTGCTACCCGTAGTGCTACTCCTCCTAGATGGGATTCTAGTCCGCTTTAGTGAGCCACCCCTTCCCCTTAGCTTTTCTTCAGGCTTTCTGAAAAACTTCCGGTGGAGAGGGGTACTGTAAGAGTATTGTGGCCTGCCTAAGAAACTCAATACTTTAACCCTCCAGGACTCGAACCCAGACCTTTCGATTATGTGTCCGATGCGTTAGCCGCCGGGCCTCTCGCTTTGTAATATACTGATGGTATTATGGTTATTGTTGTTGTTTTTTCCACTAAAGAGGTTTTCACTAAAGTAAGAGGAAATCGGTGTGAGTATGTGCTGTTCACGAGTTGTTATTGTACAATCATGTTGGTTTTTTCCATTTTTCAGGAGGAGTTATTGAAGCTTGCCCTCCGTCTGACAGTGTTACAACTCTCAGTGTCGATGTGTTAATTGAGCCGACTGGGGAAACAACAATCTTGTCCATGGCAGACCAGGTAAGTTAAAAATTGTGACGTCAACGTTTTCAATTAACTCAGAAACTGAGGTCTTTTTATTGCAAGGTAAACATAAAGGAGACAAAATATAAACAAAACAACCAGCTGCGTAATTTTTTACGTTCACACGAGTAGCCTTCACCACTGTTAAATCAACTTATTCTCCTTAGATTCACGCCACGTCACCGTTCAGATGTTGGGGATACTCTGTGCCCCAGACCTCAGTGGATCCGCCAGTACTTTGCACGGCCGCTGATGCTGTATCAAATGCCTGTAAACTGCGGGGAATTGTGGGATATTTTTCGATCGACTTTGTAACGTTTATTGATCCTAAATCGGTAAGTATTGCAGTAGAGTGCGATTATTGTTAGATCGGACAATAGTAAAACAAAGAGGCTGAGAAACAATTATGATCCGACAATCTGGATCTTCAATTCTTCGATTTACCGACTCATTTAAGGCGGAGGGTCGGTGGTTATGAAATCGGAAGGAGTGCACAGTCATAGACTTCCGTTATAAGGCTACCCTTCATGTATCGTAAAATAACACAATGGAGTTCATGTTCACAGGCATAAATGTGTTTTGAGCCCGATTCAGAATCATTTTGGGTCTGTCACAACCTTCATGCATACAATCTTGCTTTACTTGTTCAGCTGGAGCAGGTTGTGTGGGCTGTCGACCTGAAGCTGAGGTACAGTGACAGTATGGCTATGACAAAACTTATGCTTTACGTGTCTGGTGGAGAGTTTCAAGCTCCTCAGTCATCGTTTCTGGTGCCAGTTAAAAAGAAACGAGAAGAAAGCGGAAGGAGAAGGAGACGAAAAACAGTGGAGGAAGAGGAGGTGAGATTCTCAGATGGATTTATCGTAAAAACTTTATTATTACGTGAACACTGGCGGGTCTATCCTCAGTGTCCGCCTAATGAAGGGTGTCAGCACAGTTGAGGCTTGGTAAACTGCGCATGAGCAGTATAAAAAAGAAGGGAATGAGTGAACAGCCCTCATTGAAAGCGTCACAAGTTCGGTCAGATGTGAGAACACTCATGAGTAATCATCGGAATAAACGCCAAAATTGTAATCCTAATCTGTAATCAGACGAAAGTAGTCTATTGAATGCAGCGTCTTGTTACTAAAAAGATGGGATTCAAAATTTGGGACCTAGGCTCGTGTCTGCCATCTAGCGGGTTTCTGCTTGATGCAAGCTTCACTATAACATGTCTAGCTGTTATGTGTTTGTTGGCTGAAATGTTGATTGATCGTGGATATTTTATTTGGTTAGCTAGAGGCTTATGATGTTACGGTAAACATTATTTTGTTCTCCTGAACATTCGATTAAAAGAACTCTAGTAGTTTTTAAGAGAAGAAAATTTCAGATCTTTCTCTAATCTAATTGACGAACGATGAATTTATCAGGCCAGATGCGAAGTCAGTGAAAAGCGCACGAGGGAAATTGGCATGAGATCTATCCACAGTACTCTCTTTGGGTTTAGGAGTTTCGCCATTGCCTAATCATTTTGTGTGTGAATTGTATTTTTATTGTTTTACAGCCACCGCCGAATCCTAACCGTTTCGCCATTCTCAGCACCAGACTGCTGCACAGTAACTTAAGTGTGATTCATTACAGCGTTTTTTTCCAAATGTGCCGTGCGCATGGTATTGGTTTTGATATGAAGGTGAGGAAACCGTTCATCACGTGGTTACAACGTGCTTCGGTCCGTGGCTACTGTGACACTCTTTTTCTACGCTGTTCTTTCCTGCTTTAACCTTGCTAAATTCTTCTTTCGAAAAAAACTAATTTCTTTAACACGCAATATTCTGTTGATCTAAATTACAGTAACTGGACCACACTATGTTGGTTTTACAGAAGTGAATTGTTTTTGCTTTTTGACGTGATTTCATCCGTTTGTGATGTTTCTCTCCTTGTAGGAAAAAGCTGGTACAATTTTCACTCTGGTGGACAGCTCAAAACGAGAACATTTAGGAATGTTGTAAGTTGTTTTGCCGATTTTCATTTTTGAACCATCTGTCTGATATCAACTGAAAAAAACAAGTTGTTTGGCATATTTAATCCGAGTCTGTTATCCTAAACCCAAGGCTATGTATGTCGTGATTGCATTTTGGTTTTATCCCATTCGTCGATAGACCATCGGGGGTATATTTTCATGACCACCATCCTTAATCCAAGGCAAGGCCTATGTAAGGCTGACTTTTTTCTCGGTCATGATCGTGTTTTGGTTGACATCAGCAGGAGAACGACGATCAGCAATATATCTTTTTTTTTTCTAATTCATTGCACACAATCATCATCCTTTACAAAATTCTCGTTCAGGTTTTACTTGCCTGTCCTCACTTGATCTGATGGAGAGCAGCAGGTCACGGACATTAAGCCCGTATGTTTTATCATGTTGTAGATCACCCCACACAACTCAATCTTAAATTCTAATACTTTGTCGCCATTTTTTTTTAGTGTTATGAGTGATGACCTACAAGGCTCCCTGTCAACATTTGCTCGTAACTTGTCAGTAATTCATCAGGAAATCTCCGCTCCAAATATGCAGGGAGAGAGTAACTTTCAGGTCATTCTACCTAATTAATACCAGACTTTGATGCACTTTAAATATTCCTCAGTTGGAAAGGAAACTTTTGGGATCTCGGACGGACAGTCAGTAGAAACGAGCGAAAGAACGTGTAAACGAAAAATTTTGTCCTGCTACCGCCATTTTTTCTGGTAGGCTGTGTGGAGCGGGTAATTATGAGGAGTAGCATTTTCCGAAACGCAGTTTTTGGATCTGTGTTTGGTAACTACTGTTAACAACATGTTTCTGTAATTTCTTTCAAATTGATTGAAATTTTTCTCATTTTGTTTCTCAGGCAGCCATTGATGACATTGACTCCATCTTGGGTACAACTGAAGAGAACAAACAAAATCCTTCCATCCCTTCCACGAAATCTCCGCAACTGCACGCCCCGCGGCCCAAGGAAATGCAGCGAATACTCCAAGAACATCAACAGCAAATGCATGCCATTGAAAAAGATAAAAAGGAAATGGAAGAAGAGAAGGAAAAGCAACGACTTGTCGAGGAACATAGGAGATCAAGTCAGCTGGAGGGGAGGGTACAGACCGGTCAAAGTAGTGCCCCTCCTCCCACCCCTGCGGCTGCGATGTCGCCAGTTGGCTCAACATGCCTTATAGAGGAAACACCAGTCACTACCCGGGCAGCCTCTGTTGTTAGTGGAGTATCGAATGCGTTAACCTCTTATGAGGCTGCTCAGACATCCTCTGGGAACAACATAGCAGCTGAAAGTGAGAAAGTTTCGACCAACCCACCCCATCCCTCTGAAGATGTTTTGAATGATGGTAAAACTATTTCTGAATCAAAGAAAGAGAACCATATTGAAAGAGCGTTACCCAGTCCATCGGACCCGGCACCTAAAGATGATCCTAAGGAGAAAAAAAGAGCTTCTTCTGCAAAAACGAAGACGAGTAGTAGAACATTATCCCCTATGGAAGATGGAAATGGCAAACGGAGTATGTCAGCCAAGAAGTAATGTCAAAATACATTGGTTATTTTGATCGATCAGTGATGCACAGTTGTATTTATGTCTTTACAGGATTAAAGTCGTGAAATAATTATTTGACAGATTTGTTGATTTTCCTAAAGAATATGTATGTGAGTTTCAATTGAAAACAAAAGAAAGAAAAAGGTAATACGGAAATTGTCGTCCTTTTTACGACATTTTCGACCTAATTTAACATTGGATATGCAGACAAGACAAGTGAGGAGGGTGTCCTCATCGAAACTACTGTATATAGTCTGTGAGGTGGTATGGTTGTGTATGGATCCGTGAAATTCTTACTAATTGTTCATATAGGTAATGTTTTGGTAATGTGTTTGCGAAATAAACAACACTATGAACACCAAAGAAGATTTGTTATGTACCGTCTTGCTATTAATGCCTCGAATTGTTTGAAAAGTGATGAAGAAACTTTATCAGATACTTAAACCCATGAAAAAGAACTGAATATCATCTCGTCCTTAGTAAATTGTCAAAGGAGGATCAAAATCTGGATCACAGTCTTGTTTCCATGAAAAACTCGCCCCAGGCTTTCTCCAGTAGTAGACGAACCATGACAGCGGTTGCGTTTGCTTCCCTTGCGCTAATAGGAAATGAGTCTAACAATTCTTGTATCTGTGGAACGAAAAAGCACGTAGAAAACAGCAGTATCACCCTTTGGCTACTTGATAAAACTTCGAAAGCAAAGCAGTTGTGGTAGACAAAAAACTCAAAGCAAGCGGAAAGTTTTTCGCACTTTACTTACAAATGATGCACATAGCAGAGAGCAAACCTACCTGTTGGTTGTCATCATTGCATCGCTGAGACATTTCTTGGAGCAGATCACCAAAAGACCTCACGTCATTTGCATGACTTGGTCCTTTGCATGCACGGTCAAAGTTCATCAGCCTTGCTTGCCACTGAGGGATCTGAAACAAAAAGCGCCACAGGCTCGATGAGAGAGCTCATAATTAATTAGTGAAGAAAAGAACGATCAAGGGAGAGGAGAAAAGGTAACAAAAGAGTGAATGAACTAAATTACGGAGGAAGGAGGGAATAAAAGGAAAGGCTAAAGAAGGGAATCAAAGAATTCACGAAAAAACGAATAAACGAACGTAATGTTTAAACAAAGTGAAAGAGTTAGGAAACAAATAGACGAATGAATGAATGAATGGACGGTTGGATGGCCTAGAAAATTACTGAGCGACTTAGAGAATGGAGGAATTCCCGAGGCGAACAAAGGACTAAATAACATGAATGATATAAAGGACGCCATCAACATAGCAGTTCCAAAGTGTGACAAAATGTATTTGTTACATGGGAAGTGCCATACTCACCCCCGGATTCTCAGTTAACAAGATATTTGCAGGTGTAATGCCATTATGATTCAACCCGTTCTCATGCAGATACTCCAAAGTCTTGATGATGTCAAGGGCAAATTGATAAACCAGAGTGAGACACATGGATGTGCGGTTCTTTTCCATGAAATTCGAGAGGGAGATTCCGCTTACATACTTGTAACAAAGCAAGCTGACAGTAAAGTACAAACAAGAACAACGTCAGAGGGTGAGTTTGATGATTAAAAATAACGTCTCTCAGTAAGGAAGAAGAGCTTTAAAAGTTGTAAATTTAGAACAAGGGATGGGAAGCTTTTCCTTCGCCATTTTTGAATGAGGCCGTTTGATCTCTCTTACTACAGGCTGAATAATCGCTTCCTTTTGAAGGAGAGAGAGATTTATATATATCTTTACATATTTGCTACCCAAAAATGTTGAATACGATGTTACTGACGATAATTGAAGCCAGATTTTTGGAGATGATCTCAAAATTCACATTTATAATGACCATCATCTACCGGATCAGCACCTGTACACTTTTTATTAATTGTAACCAGGACTGTCGTTATTAATACCTAGATCATAACGTCATCCTTATCATTTCGGGAATTGTTATCATTATCATAAATTCATATTCTCTATTGGACATTTTTGAATGTTGAAAAAGATGCTGAGACTGTGAATTTCGGATAAGTATGAAAAAGCTCAATTTTTGTGGAACCAAATTGATTCTCAGGCACACTCATCTCATTCATACCTCATATTCTCATTGGGTCGCGGAACATCTTCATTCGCACAAGATATTTCCAAAACGTTTGCTGAAGAGGAAAGAAATCATGCACTGCAATTCTGGAGAATAAGATTGAATTGATTTTGCTCTTTGCACACTTAAAGTCGTTAAAAATAGATAGAGAATAAGAACTGTTTTAAATGGAAAACAAACTGTTGTGTTGTGTTAGGGAAAGGTGACAGGTTTTCCTTCTACTTTTGAGTTGGTGACCAGATACACTTGTTACATTCAATTTCTCTGCTGCTCGTTACATAAAAGAAACATTTCAAAATTCCCCATGTAATTATCTCTATTTTGGCCACCTTTTCCTCTACATAGCTATATAACTACGTAACTATACTTTTTACCTTCCGAGTACCACTGAAGAGCAGGAATGTCATTTCTGACCGCGCTTTGAGGTAAACATTTATACACTTCAAGTTCGTTCTCAAAAGTACTCCTTTTTCTCCAGCTAAAGCATTTCAGCAACACCTTGAAATTATTTCCTTTTGTCATTTCCTTAGCAACGAGATAGAACTATAAAAAAGAGATGTAATTGTGAAATGTTTCTTAACCAGTAACACAATAACATAATAGCCAAGGGGAGGTAAATTTGAGAGCTTCAAACGGGATTTAATTCTGCATTGTACGATGCATGTGCAAATGTTTTGGTCCACTGAGCTAAGTTTTAGATTCTGGTTAAGAAACAACCAATTCATGTTTGTCAGATGGAAATCTTGCATGCTGCTATGGTAGATGCTTTTTCTGAGGAGCGTTTGCGCAGTGAAGGAAATGAAGATGGCCTTGTTATTCAAGTGATTGAGGAGCTAAAACAGCTAAAATACAAGCAGAAAGGTTGACATACCACATCATCATCTTGATAAAATCCTGTAGCTTTCTCCAGTATATGTAGCTTCCTCCGCGGACTTTCAACTGATTCCATGTGGCGATACTCCGAGACAACTGTATCCTGCATGGATAAACTTTCGGTGGGCTCTCTTTGGTAACAATTGCCGCCTATCAAGAAAAAATTAAAATTTAATCAGTCAATATGATTCTCTTTATATTCATTGAGCTGACATATTTTTGCAACGATACTGAACTCAATTGTCCGTCATTGCCATATCACTGATTTATAAATATATGATATTACAATCTGGAGAAGCGAGAAGCGAAGGAATGTTGTACTTGAGACAAACGACACATGTTCTGTAGGAATTTTTCAAGGCTTGTCATGTGCTCTGCCCATTACTGGCAAGTCGACAAGTGCGCATTAGTGTGCTTGGTTTTTTTTTAAGGGTCAGGTGAATCAAGGATTTTTGAAAACGGCGAATTGAAATTTGCTGTCTCGTGTGATCCTTTGTGAAATTTATGTCAACATAACCAATTGCCTCGTTATACGGTAAAAGTAAAGTGGACCTTCACAGCAGCCGATGTACAGAATAGGCCACACTTGTTGTAAATTTGCAGTGACGCTTTAAGGACTTCTCCTGTAACATTTACCTCTATCCGGTTGAAATTATGAAACCAATTCTAGCTCCCTACTACTTACGACTGTTATTCGGTTAAGACTCAAGGTGGTCTTTACTTACAGCTGAACTTTCCGCCAAATCTCTTATTGAATGCAGATCTTAATTTTTTTCGTACTCCTAGAGTGGAGAAGGTGTATAGGATTGGGTTGATGGCAGAGTTGACGGGCAGAACAAAAACTGCTATCCAAACTTTTGCTTCGTGTTTCGGATCATGAAAATTTCCACTTAAGGATAGAATACCGATAATGATAACTGGCATCCAGCAGAGAAAGTCCGTCAAAACGATGAAGAAAAGTCTTCTGGCTCTGGTTGACTCAGCTTTCAGGTGCTTTACTGAGGAAGAGTTAATCAGAGTCAAAGCAGTCCAGAATATTAAGGCATAAGCAGTCAGAATACACAATAACACAACGGAATTCAAAACGATGAAAAATGCCGTAGCATATTCCCATCCTGCAGGTTTATCCTCTGAGAACTGAAGCGGCAGGCAAACTGCTGAACTTCCAAAGAAGCCAAAACTATGGAATTTGTCATGGAAATAGGATATTCCTGTCCAGGGGATAAACGATATAATGATTCCAATTATCCATATACAAGAACAAATAATACGCACTGATTTCAATGATAAGGACTGCAGTCTCAGGGCAAATACGACACTTATAAGCCTGTCTATTGTTATAGTTAATAACATGAGAACAGACACTTCACTTGAAAGCATTGAAAGTGAGCCTGCGAATTGGCAGAGGTTTCCTTTTCTCCATGCAACGTCATGTTTGAAATATTTGCCTTTCCACTGAAGATCTTTAATGGCGATGATTAATAGGTATACACCCATCAAAAAGTCTGCGCAGGCTAAGTTAGTGAGTACAAAAGACTGAACTTTGTTGTCATCTCGAACACGAATCCTCCAAATGATCACTAATAAGTTGCCGATGAAGGCAAGCAATCCAAGGATCCAAATACACATGCGCAGTCCGTCGTTTTTCATTAAATCATCACAAGTCGAGAACGCTCTGTCAGGTGACTGGCATTTAAGGTTTGGAATTGTACTCATTGCGTAACAACATATGATGAATTGATCGAGTTTCCTACAAAAGATAATAGTTTGTATATAAAGGTCTGGGATTAAATTTTATGTCACATAATTTTGCTTGTGAGATATAGAAAGAAAACTAACAAACAACAAATTGCGACAAGATATAACAACTAAGTTTACAATTGGAACAATACATATTTTGTTCTGTGGAGAGAAAATGAGAAGATGAAGAGGAACAGTCAGGACGTTCACAGGAGCCTGTCGATTGTATCAAAGTTAGTTCAGTTATGCAAATGCAGACGAATGCAAAAGTCTCTTGTAGTCCACACTATGAATGCATCTTTCTTATCGACAAAACTAATCTCGTTTTTTGTGTTATGTTGCTTTCGATGAGAATATAGGTCGAGTTAGCTTTCTTGAAGTTCATGATACGGGCAGGAGTTCGTAAAACAGACTTCTGTACGAGAGACAATCGAATACCAATGAGTAAACAAGGTCTGGGCAAGTAGGCTTCTCTCCTTCTCCTCTTTTTTCTTGCTTCTTGATATGGCTTACTGATTTAAGCCGCTCTTATATCGGCGAGTTTTCTCTTGGCAATGAAGATGGACGAGTTGGTAACCAGTCCTAGTAAAAGAAGGCTTTTCAAGTACAAACGAATGCTAGCCCTGCAAGTACACGTGACCTCCTTCACAGCCGTTCTATGGATGTCGTGCAACACACGCCACTCAAGAAGCTTTTTTTTCGAGTGCTCTTGAAAATATTTATTTATTTACTACTTTGACGATCAAAAAATTGTCAAAGTAAATTACTCAAGTGTGATTGCGACATTATGTTGAGCTTGTTCCAGTTTATTTTTTTTTATCAATTGGGCTGATAATGTAAATTGACCATCGTAAAGAGTTTGTAAGCTGACGTTTCGAGCAGTAGCCGAATTCGTTAGAGCGAATGGCGATGTGGCCAATTTACATTATCAACCTAGCTGATAAAACTAAAATACCCTGTAACACCCCCACCGACGCAGCATCACAGCTTCTTTAGGAACTTACCCCCTTTAACCTATTATTTCAGTTTGAATGCGTAAAGATGATCTATGTTTTCTGTTTGTATAATTGACTTAAACAGTTGATATTATGGAGAAAACCACACTAGTTTTTTTCTTACTAGATCTAATCTGCTAAAATGTCATAACTATCAAAAATTAAACAACAATCAGAAGACCTTACAATGTTTTGAGGCTTGTCAACTCGTCGAAGGTGTCAGGATCAAAATCTGACTCTGATAGTGGGTTTCCATTGAGAAAACTGAAGATAGGAAGGAAAACAACGGATTCTTTTAATTTTTCAATAAAGTCATGTCCGGTCAAGTCCAATGAAAAGTGTTATTGAGATGTAAAGTTCCCTTTTTATTTATTATCACGACCTATCATTCCACTATAACGACACTTTACCCTATTGGCTCAATAAAACGAGTATAATATTTTTCCTCGCACGAGGCTAAGAAAAAATTTTCTAAGGCAACTAACATAATTATTAGGAAACATTGAATAAGATGTATTTTTCCAGCCTTGCCTTGCACGTAAGTGGGAATCTGAGCAACTTATTTAATTTTATTATTTCGATTGAGACAAGAAAACGCTACTTACAGTGTCTGTAATGAGTGAAGTCCTCTGAATGTTTCTCGCCGAATGTTTGTTAATTCATTATCGTGAAGATAACTAAAATTTGAGGGAGAGATCGAGATATATGTTGAATGTCGGTTTATCAGTTTACCGTAAGGAAGACTGGAGCAAAGTTACATATATAGGAGTTTCACTGCTATGACCTCGTCAGGCCATAAGAACAACATTAAACTTTAAGCTGCTTAGAGCTGACCCGGACTCACGACAACACTTGGGTATTTCACTGCTTATCCCTGTTCTCCAAACTGATCACGTTTTTCATTAAACCTCTTTCTTTCTTTCATTTATGAAACTGAAATCTGAAAGAAGATTTTATTTGTAGCAAATTGAAAAGATTGGTATACTCACAGAAAGGTCAAATTTTTCAGGCCTCGAAATGCATCAGCTTCAATTTTGTGAATCTTATTAGAACGCAAACCTCTGCTCAAGACAACACAAAGTTAGAAAATAAGAGAACTGTTTTGATGAGTACTACATCAGAATCGAAATGAAACAAAAATACACATTTAAAGATGTGTAGCTTACAAAACTTTCAACTCTTTTAGTTCTTGAAATACTCCTTGGCGAATTTCACGAAGTAGGTTTGATCCCATATCCCTGTGTTAAGAAATAAGAAGGGTTTTTCCAACCTTTAACTCCTTAAAGTCAGAATTTAAAGCAGTTCTGAAATAGTAATTCGTGGCGACCACAAAGATGCTCTTCATTCACGAAATTGAATGCAAGATCACTGGAAACAAGAAGTAATATAATACACGATTACCACACGTTTAATTCTGACGAGATACTTTGGTGAATAATGAACACCTGGTAAACAGTCGAATAGTTTGTTTACATAAGATAATTTGTCAGACAACTTTAACCCTTTGAATCCCCGAGTCACACGCTCAGGTCAAGCAAATAAAGCCGGAAATGATCACTAACTAAAGAAACTCGAGCTCCTGATTGCTAAACAAATCCTCCTTGTCGGCACCTTAGGAATCGTATAGAGAATAGTGTGGAGAATATGCACACTGATGTTAAGGTGTGGAGGGTTAATGTATATCTAACAGCTGTGTCCTCACAGTGTGTGAAGTTTGGACAATCCTATGAAATTCTCTCTTGTCACTTGCTCAAGGAAGTTCCCATTCAGTCTCCTGAAATTTTTAAAAGATATCGGGGTTCGTTGGACATTATATCATTTGTATTTTTGTTCGGGCGTATTGTCTTACATTATGACAACAGGAAACTATGAAGAATTAGAATAATTGATCGAAAACGTTTCCATAAAAAGATACCTATCATTAGTTTTGTCGAGAAATAAACATTAAGTATAATATAAAAAGGTCAAAAAGGGAGAATTCAAAAGGGCTAACGGTTTGAAATCTGGAGCTTGGTTCCGAGCTCTTGGCATTTGTTGTTTCTTGGGTAAAAAACTTTACTTTCAATGTGTCTCTCTTTAGCGTTTAGTCTCGATAGGAACTGATAAGCAGACCAAATGCTGGAAGCAACCCTGTCCTGGCACTGACATCCCGTCCACGGGAATAACAGTACTCCTGGTTGCGAAAACCAGAGGCACGTGTTAAGTACATTACGGTTCGACATGATTTAAAAAATAAAGTTATGCAACTTACAGTGTCTTTAAAGCGGTGAGTTTCTTAAACGGGGAATTTTCCATGTCGAGTATAACATTGTTACTGAGGTCTCTGTGGAGAATTTTTGCAGTTAGTACCCTGAGATGCTAGAGCAAGATAAAGTGCAACAGTAAGATCAAACTTACAAGTATTCCATGAACTGGAGTCTTGGAAAATCTTTGATATTAACCCGACTTATTCTGTTTTCACCAAACAGCCTGAAAAAGGAATATTATCATATACGAATATTAATAAACAAAAACGCGCTCTTGAACAACTTCATCATCCTCTCTTCCGTTCAATACTCACACGACTGCTGTGGTTTCTGGATAATGACCTGGTAAAGAAACCAAAGAGTCACTCTTTACCAGCACCTTGACGTCACTTCCGGGTAATCTCGCACAAGTGCAGCCTCGAGGACAACCTTATAGGAATGTTAAGGAGCCATGTTATTTAGTGAATGTGATAAGGAGATAAAAGTTTTCATAGATATTTGTCCTCACCTTCGATGCAAAAGGTTCTTTTTCCTGAAAAATGAGTAAGAAGAACTGCTGTTTTAGGATTGTATCTAATTAACTTGTCATTCAGAGAAATACCTTGCATAACTATAACCTGGAGAATCGGTTTTGACAGGTTTAAGCAAATAATCAGCAATTATAAATCAAGGATCACTATTCGAGTTAGAGTAGCCTTCTACATCTTGGCAAACTCTCTCAAATCAATTAAAGTCACTTTTTCGAATAAAGGGGCTACTTAAAACGCTGGACGTTGCGTATCTCCTCTCATTTGCCAATTAAATCTTCTCCTAAAAGCGTATTTATAAGAATCTCTAAAGGAAAGATAAGCTCCAGAAACCAGAGACAGTCAAACCTGTATTAATCGGTCACCCACGGGGAATGGCGATGTGAACAAATAATATTTGTCGAACGCTTAATAAAGGTTCCACAGAATAGAGGTAATATAAAAAACGGTTCTAACTTTATGCCATAGTTGACCACTTAATTTTCAAAAACACTTCTTACATTGATTTCGGAAGAAAAATATGGATAAAAGTTTGCTTAAAAGATTATTCTTAGTTTCAGTTGAGAAGTTCCGCATTAAGTGATCGTTTATTACAGGCGGAAGACAATCCAACCTTGAACAGGCCGTTGAGACTCTCAAAGCTGACCACGACCGTTTTATAGTGCACGTGGCGACCGCTAAATAGAGGTGAAAATTACGGGGATTTAGGGGAAACAGATTTGTGACCTTGAAAACCGACTGCTTCATAAAGGGTGACCACTTAATATGGTGCCGCTTGATATAAGTTCGACTGTATCCTTTATCTCAGACATAAGAGAGTGAAGACGAATTTATGATATTGCTCCTTTAACTCGCATGAGTAACCACCCCAAAAATTCCTCTTTACAACATCATTACAATACCAATCATACAAGTGACGAGAATGTAGAAAATTCTACAAATTGTAGCAAAGCCAAGAGAATATAAACTCTTGGCAAAGCTCAATGGGTTTCGTCTTTTAAACTATCTGCTAAAGTAATTAAGAATAATTAAACCAGTTGTGCTATTTCAGGAAGCGTTTTTTTCCCTCTGGAAGTAACCCTTTCTTTAGCAGCATAACCCTTTAAATAAGGGGATTTTCAGTTGATCAAATACCAAATTCTCCAAAGTTACATCATGAGAACTGTATAGCAGACAGTAAGAATAATTACTAAAAAGATCTTAAGAGTAGAAGGGTTAAAATTCCATAGAGTAACCTAGCCTGTACACAAGAGCGAAGGGCTGACGCTCGAAATGTTAGATTTGAAACCCTTTACGGTGGTCAATTTACATTATCAACTCATATGATAAAACCAAATTATCTTATTTTTACAATTGAAAACTAAATGAAAAGGTAGCTTGAATCAACAAAGGATTTTTTGCTACAACCAGAGCAGCAAGTATTTGTAAACTTTGAGCTTGCACTGCCAAGTGAATTGTTTAATTTCAAATGGCTACATTCAGAGTCAAGTTTTAAGAACATTTTCGGACAATTTCCAAAAGATAAAGTTACACTTTAAAATCTAATGAAAGGAGGTTTCAATAAACTTGAGCGTGTATTTTTCAATGATGGAATAAGCTGAGAAAATACCTTGCGGCTGAAAGAGATAAAACTAAAAGTATGCTGAGAACTACACTGCAAGTCTTACCTGGTTTAGTAGTGTAGTTCGCTTTGAATCCTGTATTTATGCCGGCTTCATTTGCCCTGAATATTATTTTTAAAGTGTTCGAAGATGATTCTATCACTTGTGGGTATGTATGGCCACAGTATTTCCCTATAGTTCGTGACCAGTCATTTCCACCGTCTCGAACTTCTACGTAGTCATTAGCACACGTGGGGTGAGGCTCAATCGCGAATGACTGAAAATGGAGACGTATGGTGCGATTCTCCTCAGTGGTCACGTGCCAACTGCATGTCACGTTGTTTGGGTAATATCCGGGATATAGCGGTGATACAATAAATCCGAAGCTTTTTGCTAGAGTTTGTCTGCAAGCTTAAGGCAATACAATGATAGTGACACTGATATTGATTGTGATAGTAATCATAATAATTCTTATACTATTAATAATAATGATGATGATGATGATGAAAATAGTAATTATAATAAAGGTAAAGCGAATATAAACTCTTGGCAAAGCTCAATGAGTTTCGTCTTTTAAATTATCTGCTAAAGTAATTAAGAATAATTAAACCAGTTGTGCTATTTCAGGAAGCGTTTTTTCCCTCTGGAAGTAACCCTTTCTTTAGCAGCATAAACCCTTTAAAGTAAGTTGGTATTCATCAAGTGTTCTGGTTAATGATAAGGTTCACTGAACGACATTTTAGTCAGAGGTTTCCTCCCTCGAGGATTGCATTTTTTTTTCAAGCTGGCAGTATAGAGAAAAGGGAAAGTGGCGCCAGTCGATGGAACCTTTCAAAGAGAAATTTCGTGGTTCCCTTTTGATTCGTATTCTTAATTAATGGTCAATCTTATACCTTTCTGAGCTGTTGACGGTTGAGGCGAGCAGTACGTCTCATGTGACATCACAATACCTCCAAAGGCAAGGTAACCTGGCTTTCCATCCAGCTCGCCGACAATACTCAACTGCAAGTACACGACAGGAAAAAAAAAAAAAAAAAACCTTTCGTTTTGTTATCATTCGATTCGCAGGCTCTAGCCATCAGTGTAGAGGTGTAGTGACGATTAAAATTGCCAGTTCAAATGAAGAACCTTAAGTAATTGAAGAAATTATTAATTAAGTTTCGGATAATTTTGGTTGAGCTGGTAGGTTCCAGTAGTAAAAAAGCGGCCAATAGGTCTACACATGTAATAGGTAACAACTGGGCAGAAAAGTTCCTTTCATATAAGAATTTTTGTCATCTTAAAAAGCTCGTTAAAAGCGATATTAGTCCGAAATGAAAGGTAAAAAAAACTACACCACGAAGAGTAGAAATTGAGGTGAAAAAATTGGTTTTCGTTTAGAATCATTGTAGTTTTAAAGTTGTCTGTAGAAACGAAATTAAAGGACCTCTTAGAGGAACTAAATTGCGAGCCGGAAGTGATCTGATACTAAGAGAGGTTGCGGAAAAAAAAATTTGAATATTTTTCGTTCTTATTTCAACATACCCTTTAAAAACTATATGCAGCTTTGTATGCAACACCTATGTCACAACAGTATGATTTACTTCTTTGCTGTTCATAATTAGTTCAAAATGTTATGCTCACCCGAAAAATGGAAGTTGTACTAATTGATGTTTGTCCGTAATGCCAAAGGCTGCTTGAAAATCTAGCTCCTTTGCCGTCGACCCAGATTGGCTGCCTTTCAAATCCATATTGCGTCTCTTGATAAATCTTAAGCGACTTCACCCCACGACCTACCATTTTGTACTTAAATCTCAAACATTTGCCGAACGCTTTTTCAGACTTGGGCAGCCATGGACTTACAAATGTTGCAGTCTTCTCGCCAGTGACGACAGGATTGCCTCTCATAACAAGGGTTGGTCCTTCAAAACCAATGAAATATGAATTAATAGTCGTTACACTTTCATATAGCGGCATATAAACCCCAGTTCGAAACTTCATGTTTAGAGTAATTTTAAACTTTTGTAGTGTTCTGATCTATACAGGCTTAACATACCTTCATACGCTATTGTATGATTAAAATAATATATTTCATGATGTATAAAAAATACAGAAGAAAATACACAAAAATGATGACTGTACAAGTGTATAGTAGCCTGTATTGATCTGCATTTCAGGAACTCAAATAACAATTTTCCTTCATTTTTGACAATTCGATACTCTGTTATTGAGAAAAAGTAACTCAAATCAATTATATTACTATTAGAAGCTAGGAAGCTACCATTGGAAGCTGGGATAAATTTTTTCTGGTTTATATTAAACGGATCGCAATTAATAGTATATGTATACTTATTTTGTGCGACATACAGTTAAGTGTACCCCGAACTGAAAGTTAGATCCTAGCTCACCGCTATGTTCATTGCATATGGAGGACTTCTCCTCCTGAAATTTTTCCTTCATCTTCTTTCTTACAGCCACCCAAGATAAAATATCACCCTCGTCTTTACTACACCCATATGACATATGAATTATTTCATCTTTCGTCATAGAATAACTCCAAATATTGAAGTTGCTAATCTTGGCAAATATTTCAGGGTTGTGACTTGTTTCCATCAAGCTGATTGAGATTCTTCCAGTGCCTGTCAAAAACGAAACTTTCAGTAATTAAAAGGGAATCAAATTTGAACTTGATTTGATTTTTAATGTCTTAATAATTTCAATTTAATTTCATTAATTTCATAAGCCTCTTTCTTGCTGTTGCCAATAATTGTGAACGAATCTCACATTTAATCAGATCCATTTAAAAATCATTAAAACAAGACACGGATTGATTCAACACCCTTGAGAATAGATTCAACTAAAAAAAACTTTTTGACTTGCCTCGACAGAATTTGGGCTGAGTGCTAACGAAACACTTGCGTTCATTTGTAGTCGTAAGAATTCGTCCATGTTATTATAATGAAACAAAGAAATATGCATTTGAAGTGCAAAAGATATACTTTCTACATAAATATCTTAGCGTATCAGTTCCCAATCACCCGGTATTGCTCTCATAGTTGTAACAGGTTCAGCTTTTATCGTAACTCCTGCTGCTTTTCCATCCTTGTATACATGCCATTGCCGTAAACTTGATGTCCACGTGACGCACAAGTGGTACCACTGACCATAATTAACTGGCAAATTACTTCTTCTGTCATGGAAAGAAAAAGTTTTAATTCTTAGATATCGTGCATGAATGAGATATGATAAGAACAGCGAATCGCATATTTATAGGAAAAATATCGAGGAAATACTTGTATCAGATCACAAATCGCCTGTGCAGAAAAACTTTGCTCCGTAGGAATTGGATACATTTTGCTGACAATCAAATATTGAATTGCATTTAATGAAAGTTAATCGTGGGAGGGAGGGAGGGGATATTTGGGTCACTATTTGCTGGGCTTGTGCCGCTGGCCTCGTAGAAGCCCCACCCTATTATAGTCTATTCTGAGGCCACTTATAAATCCTTTAGTCAGTAGGTCATCCTTTTATCAACTGACACATTTTTTAAACGGAATGTAAAACACGTTACTCTATATAGAAAATGCAACCCAATTATAGCCAATCAAATAGTACCACCCCATCCATCCCAGCAGCACATTTCCTTTACATAATTACTAGGAAGTACCCCTCCCACCCCCCTTTAGATTTTTCAAATACTAATTGAAATTTCATTTTGCTTACATTGTGGTATTTTCCATATAGGTAATCTCCAAGGTATTCTTGCTCGTCAAATTTAATCCAAAAACCTTCTCATCATCTGAGGTAACACGATATTCTAACTGCAGGCTGGACTTGGTAGCTAACCATAAGCATAATGTCATCGCAGTCAAGGGTGCGTCGTTCTTAATATCTATGTGACTCTCGTCTCCAACTCGCAAGCTGATGACGATGCTTTCTTGTTTTTCTTTAAAGAGAAGAAGTATTTACTTGCTTTAGTACATTCACGTGACTCATTTTATACCGATGAATGAAGGTAAAATATGTCCGAAAAATCTGAACTCTATGATTTATACACCAACTTGAACATTCAAAGTCGTGTAAAAGACGGCTGAAATAACAAAGAAAAGTACGAAAAAGTTTGACATGATCGACTGGTTTGTTGCAGGTAAGTAGTTGCAGCTCGATTAGATGTTTCCAAAAGTATTATACTTTGAAAAAAACTACCTCTAATCGAGAGAACAGGTCTTTTGAAATTATAAACAATTTCCCTGAGATCCGTCAGAACTAACGTTTTTAGTCTATGATTTTTGCCGTCATATAGGCGATTGGTTGCATTTCTTTTCTTTTCTATAGTACTTTGTGGTCTTTCCAATTCCCTAACCTATCGCTTTCTTGGCTGAATTGTTCCTATCGTGGTTGAAATCGTCGTCAAGGCGTTTCATCTTATCAGCAGTAAAGAGGTCCCAAGTGGAATGCAGCATTTCATTTTTCCAGCTCCACCATTCATCGTGTTGGTGATGCTCTTTTCCTCCTTGGACAAAAACCAAAACACTTCGTAAACTCTTATTTGCTTATAACTTGAAAACAAAAAAACCAACAAAAATGACATTAAAAAGAATGAAACCCAGAAAAGATGTATATAACGGAAACCTTTTCCATCATATCCACAATATCGTTGATCACAATACACAGGAGCAGCCAGTTTGTAAACGAAAAACTCGCCACAGTTTTTTACTTTTATTTTTAGCCGCCATCGACACTTTGTACTACCCAGGACAAAACAGACATTTCGTGATACCACGCCGTCTTCAACGGTTGGGTGAACTCCTTCCATCCATCCAGGATATCTGGCTCCACAACGTCGAAAAGGAACCTGCTTCTCGGGGAGCTGAGTTCCTGCTGCGCCAGTAATTCTGTACCAGCGGTTGAAGTCTAGAGTATCATCACATTTGTCCGCTGTTGCCGAGTAGTTCACCAGTCTATCGGCAGTGTTGAGGGTTAAATAATTAGAACATTTAACAGAAGCTGTAAAGGCAAAAAAAAAGCGAGAGTTGAGGTTCGCTATCATAATTTCCTATGATAGCTAGTAAATAAAATTTTAACCGAGAACATATGAATGGAGTTACGTATATAATCATCCTTGAAGTTTTGAGCATCAATTACCTAGAGAAAATCCAAATCGCCAAACAACGGAAATATCGAATACTACGAAATTACAGCAAGCCTCGAGGAGAATACATTATCTTTTTTTCCAACAAAGTTAACAAACTGTCCTTGCACATGATCTCGATCTTCATTTTCAACTTCAGTAATTATGTATGCAGATAAAAAGAGAGCATCCTAACTTCTCAGAAATAGTGGCCTAGCAATTAATTATTTTGGTTTGACTTTGACTGTAATGTGATACAATTTTTTTTTTGCGTGTTTAGTTCATTGTGGTTACTTACGTGCAGTTTCATTACAAATCTCGTTAGAAAACGAGATGTCATCGATCTTTATGGTCGCCTGATTTTGCTGTTTTGACCCCAGAAAAACGACCTCAAATAAGACAAAAATAGAAGGAAGGTATTTCATCTAAATTTAGATAACGGCGAGGAAGGCTTCTATTGAGTTAACACTGTATATTACTTCAAGCAAGTGAAGTATAGTTCTCCGCGAGTAATTTGGTATATGATGTCTGATGCAGAGAGTTGGGCATTGAGAAGCGGCTGGTCTTCAAAAATTAAGGTGCATCGCAGGGAAATTAAATGTTTATTGCTTAAATTCTTACATCTCAAATTAATGCAGACCTTAATAATGCTGAGAGGCAAAGTTAAAATATTGTTAGATTTAGCTGAATATCTTGATCGTAATAACTAGGATTGACCTCTGTTCGTTACCTGGAATTTACTACCTGCTCTTTGTAACGGAAGTTGAATAAACGTCCAAGTTGGAGTTTCTTCGTCGACAGACCAAAGCGTTGACGAAGAATTTGAATCAGAACCGTTTACCAGCAGCTTTAAGGATCTCCTGAAATATTCTCCTTCACTTTTAAACCAGAATCGAATGCATCTGACTTGAATAGAATCAATGAATGGACTCATCAGCTTTCTGTATAACTCTTTGCTACTCTGAAGAAACAAGTATTTCTCTGTAAAGTACAAAGCAAAGGAAGAAGACGCAGTTAAAAGAAGATATCAAAAATAAGGGTGAGAATAACAAGTTTCAATGAAAGCAGGTTACCGGTGGTCTGCCACCGCCTCTATTATCGCTGTCTGTTTAGCCGGCGAGCAGGCTCTCGTGTTTGAGTCTACTTTTCTACATGCGCTTTCACACAAGTGAGTTAGAGCCAGTAAGGGGTCTTGAAATGGCAGCCTCCCCGCAAGCCATTGATTTTTGTATTTCCTACGTATATTCATAAACGTAGTATTCTGGCTGGTCAGGAATGACTGTAAAATCACAGAGGTGTGAATAAAAATTGAACAGCCCTCTATTTAATTCTAGAATTCCAGAATTTACGTTTGCGAGCCTCAAGATTTCAATTTTTCCTTGGGTAGCATGCCTCTAGACCCTCCTTGGAGAAAGGAGCCTCACAGCCCCATTTCTGGGCCTAGCTGTCTATTGCACCATCGCCAACCGCTTATGGAAAGAGAAAGCCCTGCTGAAAATATTCTTAATGTTCTGTTAACTTTATGCTGTACCTTGTTATGATCTAGTCAGATCTGTGGACAGCGAGTGAGTTTAGGTTAAGGATCCACAACTAACCTGCACTGTGAATCTTCCATTCGGGATCTCCAGTCCAGCCACACATATCTTCACTAAAATCACAATCAGGACTAACTAGGAAAGAAGCAAGAAACAGAATTTGACTCTTTTCTGGGGAGTTCCAGTGCGGTTATCAATCGTTGAGTTGATAAATTTTCGTTTCTTTTCAAAGGTAATGTTTTACAGTGAACACACCATACTGTCTTTAGTTAGCTTACAATCACGGAAATGGAAATCAGTACAGAATAAATTACTTGTTCATCTTACCTTGGTTTGATATATGGGTGCAAGAGCCGTCTATTACACTTAGGTCGTCCAATGCAATGTCCCCCTCAAGGCCATTACCAACTTGGGCCTCGATCACGAACTGTCCAAAAACAATCGTACAAAAAGGGAGTGAATTTTTCAGTTGAATTGGTGCTCTCGACAAAATTCAAACTCTAGTGGAGTTTCGGGCATGAAAGTTTCAGTTTATTTCTACTCTAACTAGGATAAGACGATGGTCTGCGAAACATTCAGAAAAAAGTGAAAACAATCCCTACATCACGTTTTTTTTTTCGAAGGAGGGTCTCAATGAGGTGATGGCTTTTACGGCTAACGGTTAAAATTTTGGCCATTTTACTGCTAACCGGTTAACTTCCTTCTTTTGTGACTCGAAAAGGATTCATACGTTTAAATTTTTTAACGACTAACGGTTTTTTTTGCCGTTTTACGACTAACAAAGAACAAAGATCAAAACACTTTGACCCGGGCAGGTATTGAACCCAGAACACTAGACCCTGAGTCCAGTGTACTAACCATTAAGTTTCCGCATCTCTCTGATCTGTAGACTTGCCGTTAACGCCCAAAATCTGATACGTCTAACATAGTTAATCTCTTCGTCATTTGCCCCAACTTCCTTAATTAATCATTACTATGTATGTGGATTGCCGAGTCACGCACCACCTCATTTCCAATACCTATACCTTGTATGGACTGTCATTCTGAATAGTAGTCTGTGCAAAGATCCATCTATCTCCATGATCCCTCGATCCCTGCTGCCAAACCGTCATCTCCGACCGCTTTGTCTTAAGGAGGATGTTTAAGGTTCCAATGTGTCTTCCGTGCATGTGATACCAGAACTGCAAACATGCAGGCTCTTTTGGTATCAACCAGTCGCTGATGAGTCGAGCTCGGTCCCCCGGGGACTGCTGTGAAGCCTCAATAAAAATGTATACACCTGAAATATTGCAAAATTGTTGATATGGCATCCGACGAGGATACAACCATGCAAAAGGAGGATAACTCGTTACTTTGTAGCATTCAAGTGTCAGCTTTTAAGTCCGGGTGATTCCATTCTTCAAGTTACAGAGTGACCGATTCGTCTCCAAGATTCTTCTCTATATTTTCTATACTCTGCCTTTTATCAGATTGTTTATTTCCCGTAACTAGATACTCCATTACAAGACATCGACACTTGTGTCAGTTCAAAAACTTGAGACTAACGCAAGTTGAAGGTAAAATTATTTTCCATTATAGATAATCAATGCTAAAGAAATGCTAAATTTCTCACAAAAATACTAGGTAATAAAGGAAACTAACGTGATTTACACAATAAAACAAAATCAGCTGTTAAAGTAGCAGGAACAGGGCAAATAGGGTTTGTAGACTTGCGCCCAGGGAAGGAATCTATGGTACCGACGGATCCCTAATGAAACCCTAATGAAATCCCTTACGAAATTATACTATTTTGCTGTTTCCGAGTTGCAAAAAGTGCTGGTTAATGGAGTATTCGGTTTGAAATACAATGGAACCTTTTCTACCCGCCAACTCTAATTTTCACAACTTCATGACAACTCGCTTAAGTTGACAATGCTTTGTATCGCAAGGATGAAGTCTGTAGTACTAAAAGCGAACGTCACAAGAAACTGACTCTGACCTCTTCTGAAAGTCAATATTTTGTATTTTTGAGATGTTTATAGTGTGTTTCGTATACTATATTTCACAACAGGCATTTTTTTTAAAGTGTTGAACTAGATGTTAAAACGGGTCATATCCCCCTTCAAGGGGAACCTCAACCTACTAGGATAGGCAGGCAGGGAATAACTGGCTACTTGAAATGAAGAGAAATAAAATAAAAGTTTGCATCAATTTTATGTAACGTTGATAAATTTCCTTCTAATAGATAGTTTACCTTTTTTTGAGAATGTGGTGTGATCACTACTGGGACCAGTGTTGAGTGATGGGGTTTTTCCTGAGCCATAACTCCATTGGAACTCCATGCTGATATCACTAGATAACCCACATAAACCATTTTCAAAGCCACAGTAGCCTGAAAACAAATATTTTTTAATAAGACTATTTTTTAATCCTCCTTTCTTTGAAATTTTGTTCACTGACACAAAAAAGTAGCCCAGAACTAAGTATTTTTGGCATCTTCGTGCGATGAGGCTAATGTTTCCTTTTCTTTTTCGAGATTTCTGTAAAACCAAGATAGACTTCACTCCCCAGTTTTAGCGGTCGGTCTGCTCATCCGATTTAACTCGTTGGTCTCAAGGAAGAGAGGATTATTTCTAACTCGCCAAGAAAAACAAGGTTTTTGCTGAGATAAACAAGTACAAACAATACCTCTAAATGAAGAACACTGCCGCTTTGTTTTTCCTTCATGTACCACGCAATTTAGGTTGTTCAAGGGACAGCTAGATGAGCCTGTAACATAAGGGGCATAGATACTTTGTTTGAACTTTAATGACAATGAGATTATTTATTTCCAGTGGGTCTTACTATTTTTCTGAGACGAAGACCATGGATTGTAATTCTTTAGAATAGTTGTAAAAGATTAAAATGTATATTACAGGTTGCTGTGGTTCAGAATATATTAGCTCGCAGATGGCGTCAAATTGTGATAAGAAAAAAAACGTGGTACACAGCCGAGTGTGTCACACGGACAGACACACGGAGACATGAAACCCAAAATAAGAAAGACGCTATGCTTACCACACACTGAAGAAAGATGCGAGTTGTCGGCGCACGAGTTGTCATCCGTTTTACAAGTGGCGTACCATGGGATGCAGTTTCCAGCAACACACTGAAACTCAGGACATGTCTTCTCTGGAATAATTTATTATTATAATTGTAAGTTCCTCGTAAGATAACCTGTTTAATAGAGAGTCTCGAACTTGAAAATCAAATGAAAACGCTGTTAATCGTTGTATCGCGTGGTGGAACACTGATAGAAAAAATGAGTCCTCAACCCTGACTTGAACCTTTGTATTTTGATTTATCTTACGCTCGTGACTAACTGAACTCGTAACAAAATGAAATACTTCTTCTTTTGTTTGATGAACGAGCTCAAAATTTACCATCTTTGATATTCAAAGTACTATATTTATACACATGACACATAACACTTTCTTCATTACAGTATTCAGGATGTTTGTTACATGCACCACCATCGAAATCCTTGGGCCTAGGGATTGATCATCCTCTTCTCTAAACCAATAAGAATTGTTAAGTTTTTAAATCACGAAGTGCAATGAAACGATTTGCAATAAACACGAGCAATGACATACCATTTTCAAAAAGAAAACTAAGACTATTTGAGGATAAAGAGGAAGAGGTTGTCTTTCTTTCCTGCTCCCTTTTGCTGTTCATTACATAAATTTGATGTTCCCTACCGCAGTTTGCCTCGTCGGAACCGTCAGGGCAATGTTGAACCCCGTCACATAAGTTGTTAACACGAACACAATTGCCGTTGCCACACTTGAGTTCGCTGGAAAGGCACGCACAATCTCGTTCATCTGAGTTGTCGGTGCACGCCAAGTCTCCATCACATCGTAGAGATGATGCAACACACTGTCCATTATCGCATTCAAATTCGTCGCTGTTACAACTGAAGCCTAAATCGTTAAAAAAAAATTCTTCCGTCTGTATTTGTGACACTGCCACTTCAAAAAATTTGAAAGCAACCATTAACATCACGATGGTTTTTATGTTTCTCGTGATGCAATTTTGTTTTAACGACTTTAAATGGTTTAACGTTGAAGTTTACCTGCTGATGCATAAAAGTCTCATATAACTTTTCCCGACGTAATTTTTCATCGACCGACGCTCAATTTTACTGAACATCTGACGTTTAGTTACAAATTACTTCTTGGCTTGCCACCTAGGATGTTGCTTTCACTTACATAAAAATGTGTATTGCTGCAAGAGCAAGCGGAAAGGTTGCCCAAGAGGTGTGATGTTCTCATTTGGTACATTGTCCATAAATAGCATAATATTCTTGTTTTTATTACTTTTGTCTGAGTTATACCGCATGCTTTTGTTTTTCTCACCTGGAGAAGAGAAGACTGGGTATACCTCACAGTCATTGGTCGATATTTTAACTTTGCCGATGGCGATAGCAATTTCTTCAACACCGTTAGAGAAGCCTTTGAAGATCAGCTAAAGGACGTTATGAAATATATGGTTACTTCATCATTGTTTACAGCAATTCTTAATAAAAAGCTTCCAGACTATCATTTTGTTACCTTGGAAGTCTGTCTTTCCTTCCAAGGCACTTGACCTCTTGACCAGTGGTCGCCATGATACCCAATGAGACTGTAAAGAAGCACTTCGCTTTCGTCGTGAACCGACTTTAAACTCACGTTGAAATTTGAAGCAGATTTACTCTGCATCAAGAAGCTAAATGTCAAACATAAGGGGACAGACTCTCCAGCCGAAATCGGGGGTGTTTCTAGTATGACGTAGTTATGAGTGCCACCGGTATACGCGAAGTTACCTGAAAGAAAAAGTCAACTGGAACAGGGTTGACACATAAATTTGATGTTCCCTACCGCAGTTTGCCTCGTCGGAACCGTCAATGTTGGTCACATAAGTTGTTGACATAAAAAAACGCGTTCATTCATTTAGTCTCCATCACATCGTAGAGATGATGCAACACATTAAAAACGCTAAGGTGTAGTTTGAATGGTGCGAAAAAATGATTACAAAGTCGGGTAATATGAATTTAAAGACGCTTCGGAGTGTTTTGGTAATGTTATCAAAAGGGAAACTAGTGCGTCTATGACAGAAAACAAGTCAAGAGATTTCGAGTTATTAGTCATTTCTTTAATCCTTTTTGGACGAGAAAGTACATAAATATTAACTATTTGGATGAACTTTCTGACTTATTCAAAGGGTTGTAAAACTTTGCTGAGTACTATGAGTCGTCACATCTTTTTAAATTTTAGCTCGGCCTTGTATCATGTGTTCCAATTGGGATGCAGATTGTTTCCGGCCTGAAGCATCATGTAATTATCTTTTCATTTTAACGACTATAAGCAAGTTTAATCGTCGAGACCAAAAAAAAATTGACACTGAGACACAGTAGACTTCTAATGTCTCAAGATTTAAAGCACTGACCATTTCAACGGTGTAAACTACAAATATGAAATTTATACCTCTTTCACCGGTTCTGTTTGTTTGGATTGAAAACCTCCACTTCTCGCCAGTTTTTCCATCGCCATTTTTCCAGTTCGGGCAGAGTCCTAATGGACTATCAAAAGTGCACTCCTCAATAACAGATTCTGAAAAAAATCGAGCGAGAAAACTGAATTTTCTAATCCACTCCTATAATTAAAAGGTGAATGGTTTATTACTTAATAAAGAAATTTCATATCAGAGCAGTTCAAGGAACAAGTTCATGATAAGATAAATGTTTGAGTGTTGTAAGTATGAAACACTTTTGTTATTGTAATAATACGGAGGCTATATAAATTAAGTAGAAGTTGTCCTTTACTTGGCTAACGATTGTTCAGTTTGCTTGAGTATTGTGTCGATCTTCGATATTTTATCCATCATTACTATGCTAGGATAATTATTTTGTCCTTACCGTTAACAATTATGTATCCCAAGTGCCGTCTTCTGACAGGCGATTCATTTATGAAAGAGTAATGGACCTTGCGAAAATGCAGAAATTAATTTAAGAAGCTAAATTACGCACGCCTTGTAGTTCTTACTTGTGGATTATTGGAGGAGAGACGCAGAGATGACGACACCATTAAAAATTGTTTGCTTCTTTGTTATATGTTGTTGCCGCGTAGACCACAAAAGACTTCAAATTAGGGTAAGAACATCAGTGACACCTTTAAGTGCGCCTCGTGTGCCAAGTTTTAGTTCTTACCACATTTTGACGTCATCTGTCTTCTACAACTGCACAGACGCACGGCCGCGTGGAATCTATTTGTTTAGTCAGAGATTAATCTTAATTTGGTTCGTATTGGTCAATATTGGTCAGTATTTGGCATTGGCTATTATTTGTTAGTATTGGTTAGTATTGGTTAGTATAGATGGGAAAAAATTTAATAAAGCTTTGTGAAGCTTACCTTCGCCCCATATCGGCCAGGTTGTACTGAAGCAATTACATCGAAGTCGAAGTGTTTTTCCTCACATGTCATCGTTAGCGAGTTGTCCACAGTGTGATTCTGTCCAAATACGTTAATTCCTAGTGTTATTGTACTATTTGGACACCATATACCAAGACAGCAAAGTCTGTAGAATGCTTTGATAAAGAAACAATAACAATTGAGAAAACGTTAGTGAAAACAAGCCACCTGTGTTAGCAGCTCACTCAATAAAACGAAGTTAATAATTGATTACTGATGATATGGCCCTAGTAATAGGCTCAGAACACACTGCAAGTTAACTGATTTACCAACCTGAAATCTGTAAAGTCGATCCAAAAGTCATTGTGATGTCTTCAATGTTCTGTTTGACTCTAAACATTAACTCTCTTTTACCTTTACCATAAAGAAAAGAAATGATAGGATAACTAGATAACAAATCATAATCAGTAGCCGTTGTGCTACATTTTGAAGGATGCCATGATTTGCTAGATTGCTGTCCTATAATGTTGATGCCGTAGTAACATTCGTAAAAGCACGCCAAAACACATTAACAAAAGCAAATAACGAGTCACAGATGGTGAAGCGTCAATATTCGATCCCATTTACTAATGAGTAATTGGCAATATAGCTGCGAAAGTGTCGAGAGCAACAATTAATCGACTCTTAATAATAGAAAAAGTAATACACCGTTCTTGGATAGGTATAAACACGATGTATTAAATCATGACCATAATAATAATAATTTTTTATTTAAACCTGGATTTGTCCTTTTTCGGAGGGAGAGGGGGCGTAATATCACTACCTGGGTTTCCCCAATTCTGGCTGATTATAGATTCAAGTAGGCACCACTGTGTACCTTATGTTTTAATTAGAGGGAATTTTAAACAACCTGGCAGGATCCATGTCGTGCGGTTTCCGACAAGAGGCCTTTCAAAAAGGCTTGTGTTATTGTGAAGACTCCAACCCACAGAAAGATGCCCTCGTCTGTACGACTCTTTTGAGAAACCCTCCAGGAGATAAAACATGCTGCAACTGAGGTAAATCTGATTTGATTTTTGCCTTGAAGTCCTAGAATAAGTATCAAAATATACTTCATAAATTCTGAAGTGTTTGTCGTCATTACTGGCAATGGCCATCGAGAAATGACTCAAGAAAACTGATAAAATTCGATTGATTGGAAAAAAGAAAAGGAAGACATATGGGATGTTGAACTAGAAAATTGTTTGCACAAAGAAAAATATATAATGATACAAAGTTCTCGTCATGTATTGAGGCCAGCTAGAAGAGAAATTCCATGTAATATAGGCATTTAGTTTCTACAAGACTCAGTTGAACGAGTGGACCCTTCGGTTACGAGTATGAATGATACGGCAACCTTTCCTCTTACCCATCCCATATCAGATTTCCTGTTCTTGTTGTTAACTTTGCAAGAAGTTCCCCACCATTGTCTCTGTCATGCTCATCTCGCAGGGTTGGTTCATCTGTTTTTGTGAGCCACAGTTCGCATTCATCTTCACATGTTATGTAAAAAGTGTACCACCCACTCGCTTCTGGCTAGAATATGAAATTATAGAGAGTATATGGCGCGGATGTTGCTCGTACTTTGGTGAAAGCGAAGCTTTAATATTTCAGTAGAAACGCGGAAGAGATCTCCTCATAGCCAACTAGGCAAAAAAATGAGACTTTTGCCGGCGAAAAAAAAAGACCAGTAAAAAAAAAGCAGCAAAATAAAATACTGGCTCATGTCAGAAATGAAATGAATGCCATGCACCCAACTCAAGCGACTGAGTCTTTAGGCTGATAATAAAGTAAACGTCATATGCGTTAATATGATATTGCTTTTGGGCGCAGATAGAGGTACTTTCGAAGGATTTATACAAGTATACTATACCTGAATAAATGTAGACAACCGCTGCCCATATGTGGTAGAAAAGTTGGTAACAACATGAAAAGTTTTTAGCACTGACAACGTGTCAGCAGCTTCCTTGAAAACTGGATGGTACTTCAGAATAGGATCATCTTGTGAATTAATACCTTTAAACCACACCTCCCTCAAAATTCCAGCGGACTCCAGAGAATTTTCTGAAAATAATAACAATCAAAAATGCTTCTAAACATTTTCCTTGATTACTTTGCACTATTCCGAGCTGCACGCTGTCGAAATATTAATGAGATTTACAACAATTATTTTTGTCGTTGCCTTCGAACACTAATGGCTGACTATTTAGTGGAGAGCGTACTTGTCAGGCAAGGTATATAGTTCTTTACTTTCAAAACACTTACCAAATGCAAAAACTGCAACTTCGCATAACACAAACTTGACGTTTTCTGTTATCATGGTTGCTGTTACGAAACGACCATTGGCTGGAGGGATGCAGCGGAACACACGGAAATGTTTTCTTGGGAAAGGACTGGTCTCTTTGCATGAATGATCCACAGGGTGATTCATACTACTTTCAATTCCGATGTCCACAAAAACTTTTTGAAAACTCTTTAAGCCAAGGAAGACATGCACAGTATGTATGAAGAAGTTTTTGGATAAATCCACTTGGAACCAATTGTCGACTGTCTGAGAACGAAATGAAATATATAGTTAAAGTTAACTTATCCCTGTTTCTATAGCATGAAGCGACCTTCCAAAATTTTCTTATGCTAACGGAGTTGTAGGTTTTACCTGACTGAACTCCACGCATGTGTTGAACAGTCCATCAACTGCATAGACTGCATTAGCTTGTGCCGTTGGATTAGACTGGTTTACGGTCATGTTCAATGCAATATTATTTGTTTTAACTGAAAATAAAATATTTAAAAGAGAGAATGAATGGAAAAGACAGAGAGAGAAGAAACCAGGGAAAAAAGTGTTCACCCTTGCATGCTACGCAGCAAAAAGCAAATGAATATACGGGCTTTTGTTCTCCGATTCGCAACGGAGCATTACGCAGAAGGTAAATGGCAGAAAATTAAGGTTTTATTAACTGTGCAAAGCTCATTGAGAATTATTTGAACAAGTTTTACTGCGCTACGCTCAAGGGAGTCTTTGTAGACTAATGCTACTAAATGATCCACACGCAAAGGTCTGTCGTTCCTTTACATCTACAGGTCTCCTAACCTTTTGACCCCGTTAGAGTGACTAGCATCTAATTTCTCCTCACGATATCACCCCTGAATTAAAAAATGGTGGTCACGAGACTGCAGTAAATAATCACCAACTAAAGAACCTCTTGATTGTTAAACCAATTCTCCCTGTAAGCAACTCAGGACATGTATAAAGAATAGTATGGAGGAGATGCATACCGATGTTGGGATGTTAAGGGTTAACATTGGAAAAAATTAAAGTGCTTAGTCCTTTCTTGACGGGCCCATACCCTATTTTCTGCCATGTACACAGCCTTTGGAATTAAAGAAGTGCTATATGTAGCAGAGATACCTGATGGCGGTCCACACACAACCCCCGAGTCTTCCAGATGTGCACAATCTTTCACTCCCAGATCTGCCCTTTTACAATACAGCAATGAGCTCTCATTTCCAAAGCATTGAACATTATCCATCCATATTGGACCTGTGCCTTTCCCAAATGATTGTCCCTTTGTAGCTGCAGTAGCCTGAGGAAGTCCTAGCATGCGACACACGACATATGCGTCTTCAATGCTCCAGAAATCGTCACATACAGTTCCCCAGACTCCATTGACGGAAATTTCTACTCGGCCTTCATTTGGTGAGCTGCCTTCCGTCAGGCGAACCTCAAAAGCTGACATAAATCATGGTTAAATTATGGATCCCTCAATCTTCCCACTTATTTTTTTTTTCCTATGTTAGCCTTAATAACGTCCCTCTTTCGTCTCTGATTTTCTTTAATAACAGATCAAAACTTTCATAATAGTTTGTACTTACACTGTTATTTTTTTTAATTAGCTCTTCCTTTAATGCCATTGTGGTAAATCACTGGTAGAAGAATGATGCAAAGGTATTCGGTTTTCGTTAAATTTCTTTTATGATGCTTATCTTAAAAGAGACGCATGAGATTTATTCCTATTCGAAACACTAAATGCTTTTAATGCGTACAGCCATGATCCAACCGCTGCTATGAGCTCGGAATGCCCACAAGTAAAATTAATATAAATCTGTAAATTTAGTCCTCTCCTTTTGCAAATAGTCCCTAAAGCATACTCACAAGTAATATTTCCGCAAATTACTCCAGCGTCTTCATGATGTTTACACTGGCTAAAGGCACCCAGACCTAAATGGCTACAATCGATAATTGACGTCTCACTTCCGGTGCAATCTACGTGGTCCAACCATATTTTTCCTTTCCCTTGGCCGAAGCTGGAGTCTCCGGGAGCTGCGCTTGCGTTGGAAAGACCAAGCATTTTGCAAATGACTGTTGCGCTATTTAAACTCCAATTATCATCGCAAATTGTTCCCCAAATCCCGTTCACTCCAACTTCTACTCTTCCTTCCGTCAAAGAACTACCTCCTACCAAGCGAATTTCAACTGAAGCGAAATATTATACTCATATTGGTATTCATGTTAACTCAATCGACCCATTCCAGGTAACGCAAATAACACCGAACGGACAGACAAACATTTTCTCTACCACAATAGGCTACCTTTTGATAAGACCTTAAAAGAGGTAAGAACTGATTGCAACTGTGAATTTTTTCCATTTTTTTCCCATTTGCAGTGTCTGAGTCATCAAAAAAATTGCGATTGCATTTCTATTACTTAGAATGAGCTTAACATTGAAATTCACATACAATAAGTTTAACGCAGTTCATGGCATGTATACGAGTTATTTAAGGGGAAGATAACGCTAGCCAATGGATAAATTGCTCTCCAGTGGATAAATTTTAACAAAACCTACTGCTCTATCCACATGAATCCGGTTGTTTCAACGGTGGATATCGCTATCTACTGTAAAAATCTCTATTCGTTAGATAGCGCATTACGTTTTGTAAACACTTATCCACTGGATAGCGATTTATCCACTGAATAGCGATTTATCTGCTGGATAATATTATTCGCTCTTTGAACAACTGGGCCTAGATACCGCCACTGGATAGCGTTATCCACCCCTAATTTTTCTG